GTATTTCAGCCTCCCAATCTCCTGTGATCACTATGTCATCCACATACACAATAAGAGCTGCATTTTTCCCTTCACCTCTTTTCACAAATAGAGTGTGATCTGACTGGCATTGTTTGAACCCCATCTGTTGAACTGCTAAATGGAACTTACTAAACCAAGCCTGAGGTGATTGTTTCAACCCATATAAAGATTTTTTTAACCTGCACACCTTTTGTTCACTGCTTTTGGCACAAAATCCTGGAGGTTGGGTCATGTACACTTCCTCTTCCAAATCACCATTCAAGAAAGCATTTTTGATGTCCAATTGGTGAAGTTCCCAGTCAAGATTTGCTGCCAATGAAAGAAGATCCTGATAGAGTTCATCTTGGCTACTGGAGCAAAAGTCTCTACATAGTCCACTCCATATACCTGTGTAAAGCCTCTTGCTACCAGTCTAGCCTTGTAGCTTTCAACAGTTTCATCAGCCTTGTGTTTCACTGTGAACACCCACTTGCAACCCATTGGTTTCTTCCCTTCAGGAAGGTCCACCAACTCCCAAGTGCCATTTTTGTGTAAAGCATCAATTTCTTCCTGCATTGCATCTGTCCATTCAGGTTTAGACAAAGCTTCTGCCACATTCTTAGGAACGGGGACACTATCCATAGAAGAGATGAATGCACGGAATGAAGGTGAAACATGATCATAGGACACAAAATTAGAGATAGGATGATTAGTGGTACAAGACCTAACACCCTTTCTCTTAGCAATAGGAATATCAAGATCATTGATGACAGGTGAATCAACATTTAAAGGAACAGACATATCAATAGGAGCAAGTGTACCTGGCTGATGAGACGGATCTGCCTCTGGTGAATTCGATGATGTTGGTTGCATAGTGTCAGGTTCCACGGCTCTTGAACTCTGTTGGCTTTTATGGCGACGATGAAAAATCCGGAATGGAGGAGGATCGGGTAAAGGAGGTAGTTGAGTTTGAGTCGCCTGTTTCTCCTCAACCCTACTCTCCCCCTGAGGAGAAACGGAGAAAAAAGGTTGAGTCTCAAAGAAGGATACATCAATGGAGACATAGTACTTGCGAGAGGTAGGATCATAGCAGCGATACCCCTTTTGAGATAAAGGGTAACCAAGAAAAACACAGGGAATAGCCCGAGGATCAAGCTTACCTCGAGTAGGGGATAGGTTATGGACAAAGCAACGACACCCAAAAACACGCATCAGAATGGTGGACAGTTCCCCGGACAGCTAGGGCAACTGACTCCCCTTCTACACAATTCATCACACTTCTACTTTCTTCTGACTGCACTAAGGCATACACCTCCTGAACTGATGGCAAGTCTTTACTACCTAAGATCTGCACCCTGATGGACTCATATGAAGGATTCAACCCTAGCAGAAAGGCAAAGACCCGTTGCTGAGATACAACTTATACGCCTTTGCATCTTCATCRCACTTCCAATTCACATTCTG